ATTTTAAAAGACTGCTCCTCAACTTTCCTATTTATACTAATTGATATAAAAATATGAAATCTCCAGATGGCATACACTTGGCAACAGACAGATATTTGATATTATCAGTTTTCCTAATGACCTTATCGCATGCAGTACTGAAGCTGTCTGACTTTCTAAGCAATATGCTACCGCCGAGAGTTCACTAGCACCTCTGGGCTTGTAAGCAACAGGACCCAGCTCCCAGGAAACAATGGCGTAGTGCATCAGAGCTGTCTCTGTGCAAACGAGATCAGAACACTGAATATATGGGTTTGGTGAAGGAGGTGTGGTGAAGGAGGTGTGGTGAAAGAAGAGAAAAGTCCACAGCCACCTGGAATTACAGCCACCCTGAAGAAAGGAAAAAATGTTATTCCCAATTTATTATGGCATCTTGTTTTCTGAAGCTGGTTTCAATGAAAACTTAAAACACAACCTTAAGGTTCCATTTTAACACCAAATATAGCATGCGTGGGAAAGAACACGATTCTTCCCCTCTAGCAATGATCGGATGTGGATTTGGATGCTACAACTGAATGCAACATGTCACATTCAGTTCTTTTTGAAGCAGAAATTAGTCTGAGTGAGGTCAGTGAAATCTCCTTACAACAAATCCCAGAAAGTGGGGGAGTCCTCACCTCCGAATCTGAGATTTCCTTATTAAGTGAGTTATACAGCAACGTAGAAAGTCTTCAATAGACCCAGATATCCCCATTATAATCAAGAATGAGGGTTACAAAGGATGGGGTTGCTGTAAATGGAGTTTCACTGCAGCTAGTTGCTGAAAACAAACAATGTGTCCATCACAGGCAGTGTAAGTATGGATGTCAGGGTGCAGCCAGGCCATGACTGAAGCCAAAGCACTTGCCTTTTTTAAGTATGCCAAATACCTCTCTCTGAAAGCAGTCTAATTTACACTTTCAGAGGCAGAATGCTTCAGAGTTTGGACTTTAAACCTTCAGTAGAGTGGTACAGGCTTGCTAAGTGCCATTTAAGAGAAATTACTGATTAAGGAAAGTTTGTTGTGACAATGAGAGTGTCTGAGCTCTGACAGTAACCTGGTCTTTGGAGAGTACTCCCACCCCACGGGCAAAAGGGGGGGCATGGAGAAGACCATATGTGGCACAGTGATGAACACAGAGCTGTGGGGATGCAGATGAGCTCTTCTATACTCTTACCAATGCCCAAAGCCCACGCCAACACATGGTTCTTCATGGTCACCAAGTGCCCTGAACACGGTTGTCTGAATTGGACTCACAGTACTTTTGTTGCATGTTTTTTTCTCTCTCCACAATTACTTGATCAGTGCGTTCATTATACATAAAAATTTTAGATCCCTTTATATAAGGCCAGAGTCTCCTCTGTGTTGCTGGCACTTAGATCACAAATCTGTGTGGTTTTAGTATAAAATATAAAAGTGTTCATACAGCTGTATCCAAAAAGAAATGAGACAGTTGCTACACTGAGAATAAAAAAACAAACCATTTGGAGCTATAAAACCACCACTACCCACTGAGAAAAGAACCCTCAGGTATAGGCTGTTTGAATATACCATTTCCTTCAACAGTCAGTAACTTCAATGGATACTCGAATTGGTAATTCAGCCTCCACAAAGTACAATGGGAAATATCAGAAACGGTCTCAAAAGTTGTTAAAATATCACATAAAAGAGACAAGAAACAGCAAGAAAACATCTAAGAAAAGCAGGCTGCGATACAACAAGCATTTGTTAAGAAAAGCTCAGAAGTGCATTAGTTCTGGTGAGAGATATATGAGCAACAGCTCTTACGAGATGTAGAACCCATTCTGTAACTATGGGCTGTCCATATACTGTCATAGTCAGAGTCTTCCGAGAGGTCTGAAGGCTCCAAACGAGAAAGGCTACTGCGACGACCCAAGGAGTCTAGACTTGATTGGTCATCATCAGCCAAGACGTGATTATGCATCAGGTCAGTGCCTTGCCATGCTAAGACGGGGGTGGGATGGAGTGACAGGTGTGACAGGCAAAGGTGGAATGAGGAGGAGGACGGACAGGAAGAGCCACAACCAAAAACATGAAAACAAAAGCAAAAGGTGATGGGAAAAGAAGGAAAAGAGAAAATATTGTTAAAAAAATGACAATAATGTTCATTTCTCCTTATTTATGGTTGGGTTTTAATAACAAACTTAGCACAACTCTTAGAATAAACCCAGACCAATTATTATTTAAATAAACCTAACTCATGATATTGTTCCCAAATCGTTCCGTTTAAAGGTATTGTTATTAAGCCCTCACTTAAATCTTTTACAAATTGAGCCCATGTCCAAAGATAATTCTAGAGACAAGTAACCAATTATATTCCACATTCTATTAATAAATAATCTCATTTAGGACATTATTTGTTAACACGAACCGTTTATGTGGTTAATTAAAAATTGCTTCCTATTCATTAAGGGGATAGTGAATGCAAAATAGTTTCAAAGGACTTTTGACTTACTTCTTCAGTTATCTCTTTGCCAGACTATAAATCACCAGAAGTCATCTTAATGACGAAAGTCTAAAACTTACCTTATCAAACTATAACCACTGTAAAAATTTCAGAATGGAGAAAGGAATTAAATAGGGTCCACTTCCCTCTCATTCCCCATTTCCCATCACCCACATCTCCCCTCTTTAGAGGGCTCACCAGAGCTCAGCCAGTAGATATGGATAAAGTAGGAAGCCATGTCTGCTCAAATGTTATCAACCCTGATGCAGACCCTTTTACTGGCAGGAAGAGAGGTGAACTGGTAATGCCACTGTTAAAAGGAGGACAACAGAAGGAAGTGGGCACAAAATGGGAGCAGAAATCAGCCCTTTGTTGTTAGCAACTCTGAGCAGTGATACTGGCCACGCAGCTGTGCATGAGACATGCAGGCTAGAATGGGCCAGGGACGGAGGGTGCTGGAAGGACACACTCAATGGGAACCAGGAGGCTCATCCACGAAGGGGAATGGCACAGCACAGCAACCACTGACTCTGTCCAGCTCCTGCTTCTGATCAAAGTTAATTCCATTCCCAATCCATTACAAGAACAAGCAGTGGACTAGTTTGGATTTCTTCAACTAAATCTCTACCATCTATGAAGGTCATTACGTCCTTGAGAAAGAAATCAATAGCAAAGATGTTTGGTTTATAAAGTCTTGGCATCTAAATGTATACTGAACAGAGCTGAATTTTAGGTAGGTATATTATTCTGTCTTCACTAAACATTTAATATGAAAAGAGCTTTCACTCTGATTCCATTTCCAAATGTATAAGGATATCACCTTTCCAGCATAAAGGATCAATTTCCCTTATCCAACCTGTTCTTAAGAAAGTTTAAGGCCACGTATGATTGTATATATAAGGCCCCAGAGTAGTTAGCTCATAATATCAGTTAAAAATAAAAATCAATGTATTGTCCAATGCTTTTCTTGCACAGCAGAAATAGAAACACATAGTACAGGCAAGGTAACAAGAAAAGAACTGCACAAATTGTGGGCCATTCCCTTCAGGCAGCCAGAAGCGAGGCCATAGGCGTATCACGGGGCATTGTCTCTTGAATGGAGAAATGCAGCTTGCACAAAAACACGGGCGAAGCTCGTTACCTGGTCTGCTCACCTGAGACTACCAGGTTAAAATTTTATTTCAAATAACTGACATTGAGGTAAGTAATTTTTTTAAATCTCACATTCAAATCACAAAAAACTATGACCACATTTTATACCCTATTCCTTAAAATACAATCTCATCAAATATATAAAACTGCAATATTTAAAATGACAATAATCTATATTTACAAGTTATTGCTTGATATTATCCATACTCACTCCACATTCAGGGCTTTCCATTTCTCTTCTACTCTGCTGACTAGCCACTACAAAGGTATTTTCACCAGAAAGAGTACGGACAAAAACGTCTTAATGTCATAGATGGGATATGTAAAATAGTGGCCATAGGGTAGTTTCTAGATTATCTGCAAATTCCACCAGGGGTTTAATCCTGTTAGCCCTATCTTCATCTTTAACGAAAGCTAAAGTAGTTGAAATTCCTTTTCCAATCTTTTCGTTTCCGGCATTAGTTTATAGAACAGAACCTGGTTTGAACCACCATATTGCAGGTGTTAAAAGTGAAGGTGAGATAAGTAATTTGCCAAGTGTTGGGGTAGAAAGGAAACCAAACACACAAAATCTAAAAGAAACCAGTTTTTATGACAGAAATAATACATAAATCCTCCAGTTCTAAAAAAAAAAAAGCCCACGTAAGAAACAACAGTACAAAAGGACACTCCATGATGCCTGTGGCCTAGCATCAGGTAATGGGGAAACTCAGTCCCTTCCTTCTGAACAAAGCACATGCATTACTTCATCCACCCCATCATGCTATACTTCACTCTCAAATGCTAAAAAAAAAAAAAAAAAATCTTTCCTTTTTATTGTACATACGATGAGTAAAACATTATGCATAAGATACAGGTAAATTCAGTGGTACTGAGATCTATCTAATTAACTGGTATCTACTTCCACATTTTAAAAATGCAATTGTTTAGAAAAAGGGAAGGGGAAGACTAAAAGCAGCTTTGCTGCAGGTTTATATTTTTGACAATTCTAAGAAGCAAAATCCATTACCACGCCAATAGTTTAAATAGCTTAAATACCTGAACTGAATCTTCTGCTCACATCTGAATACATCTTCTCTAGGCAAAAGAACACTTTATAAATTCTGGCAGTACCTTATCCATAAAGGTTTCCCAGTAGAATGTTCTCTAGAAATCTGTTATTTTACTTACAGCTCAGACCCTTTTCAATGATTTAGGGATGTCAGGATCAAGCTGTTCTATACCTGGCTAGGCCACCAAAGCATTGCTCACTAAGGACCATTCAGGAGAAGCCGTGCACAGCTCAAAAGCATAGTTTCCTTCAGATTGTGATTTTAAACAAAATGAACTACCACAATTCCCAGTACTTTACTGGAAACTTACTTGAATTGAGTGTTTGCCGTGTTTTGGCGCTTGTGCAGTAAGCTTCGATGACTTTCAAAATCTGAGCGTCTTCTTCCAAAGCAGCTGTGCCTGTCAAGAGACATACAACGCGTTACAATCAAGCTAAAAATGATGAGTACATACGTTACGATCTAAAAATTACTAGTACAATTAACTAGATGAATGAAAAGTCATCTCAACCAAAAATAATAACAAACAAGACAATCTCTTATCTTCTTGTCCGATATTTATTTTCCAATATTTATGAAATAGTTACATTCAAAAGGATTTTTTTTTTAAGTATTTTTATCTGCAACATATCTGGCAAAAGGTTAACACCCTAAATATATAAAATTTATCTTACTAATCCCTAAGAAAAACAGTAACCCCCACTCCAAGTCCTGAAATTGAAACAAGAGCAAGAACGAGGCATAAATAAGTCACACAAAAAGAATACAGTCATCACACTAAGAAAAGAAGTGAAAATTAAAACAAAATATCAAGTTTTCACATACAAGCCTGGCAAAAAAAAAAAAAAAAGCCTGACAATTCTCAATGTTGATGTAGCTAGAAGAAAAAGTCTTCCCTCTATCCACAGCTAGTAGGAATGAAGATAGGCAAAATCCTCCAGAAAGGCAATTTAACCACATTTACCAAAGGCGTCCTCTGATCGACAAATTTCTACTAGAGATTTTATCTAAGAAATTTATAAGGCACAACCTCAAGCCTGAAGGTGTCATTCTAGAGCTCTTCCTTAAACTATACATTATTCCAGATACTGGCTTCCTACTCAGAGATCACAGGCACAGAGAAGACAATCTTCCAGACTAACAGCATCTAATGGTATTACTAGCAGGTACCAAGTCTCACACCTAGCATATTTCATATGGTCCTATGGCTAAATTGTGTCTGTTTTTCTATATTTCTAAGATATTACTTATATATTTTAAAATATATATATTTATATATATATTTCTGTTCATATATTATTTATATAAATGTTTATATTAAAAATATATCTTTACATTTATTATCTACTATAATGAAAAATATAGAAAGAATGGAAGGCTGAAATACTTCAAAGCTGCACAAAAAAGCCAATACTTCCTACTAAAAAATAAATTTCAGTACCAAGAGTTTAAGAGCAATTGAGGAACTGACTTAAATTTCACTAACTGAGACCAATCATTTAACAGGTTTCTCATAATAAGCTCCTCCTTTAGGGGTAATAAAGATAACATTTAACTAGTTTAATTTCAGGACTTGTTGCAAGGTAACTTCCAGGGGCAGGCCATCCCCTCTTGGCCAACAGGAAAATCTGTCCAGCTAATGTATCTGGGTTGCTATTTTCAGACATGGGTAAGTAAGTACACTGGCATCATCCTACGTGCAGAGAAAGCATTAGATGCCACAAAGGGCATCGGCTTCCCTGGGATATAGTGTGAGCCATCACTGAGCTACCTTTTATCACAAAGGTTGAAGAAAGTAAATTAATGAGAGTACAACACACATTTTCTATGTGGCACAGACTGCTCCATGAACTAGAAAAAATTTCTAAGATTCTGAATGTAATAAAGGTTAAAATAACTTAACAAAATTACGTGACTTTAAAGCAGTCACGTTTACTTTAAAGCAGTACTTGCTATGCACAGGCACTATTTACACAGAGATCACATAAAGTTTCTCCTCCAATTCACATGAAGATCCTTGGTTTTCTTATTACTTCCTGGCCCATCCTTCAAAGTTTCCTCTGCTAGCTCCTTATCTCCTTCATCTCCTAAGACTCAGACCCTGTCTTACTCAGTTCTCTATTCAGTCTCACAGCTTGAGAAACCATCTAAGCACAGAACACCTCTGAAATTCTTACCACCAGCCAGACCTTCCCCTAGACCTCAGAATTTTGTTAACACTCTGCCTCAACACAGTACCTGTAACTCATTCTGCAGGTAAACAGGCCAAAAGCCTCACTTTCACACACCCAAAGCAAGTCCAATCCAACAGCACATCCCATGGGCCTGTTTCTCAACCGTGGCACTACTGACATTTGGAGTCAGAAACAATAAGTCTTCACTTAATGCTTTCAACAATAAGTCTTCACTTAATGCTTTCAATAGGTTCTGCAACTAAGTGAACGACATATCATGAAACCAGTTTTACTACAGGATAATTGATATAAACAAGAGATAAGTCCCTAAGGCATCTCATCAACGTTATAACAAAACAACGGTATTCGAGAACCTGCTGTAATTCTTTGCTGTGGGGCTGCCTTATGTGCTACAGGGTGTTTAGCAATGCCCCCTGAGGGTTAAAGTCACCCCCCTCCGCCCCCGCCATAGAGAAACACTGCAATAGGCTCTATCTTTCAAAGAAATTTGAACTCTGCCTGCCCACACCTCACCTCTACATTGTTATCACCTGGCCCAGGCCACCAACATGTCACCCTCACCTGGATTACTACACAGCCTCCTAACTAGTCTCCCCAGCCTCACCTCTGCCTGTCTGTTCTCAGCACATCACTCACAACTGGATTGTGGCTGCCCGTTTGCTCAGAGCCCCTTTAGGAACCGAACCATCTCTCACTACCTCCCTGTCACCCCCTACCACCGAAGCTCTTGGGGGGGCAACTTGATGATCTCTGAATACATCAGAGGGGTTTCCAGCCTCTGGGGCTCTGGGACCACTGCCTGGAAAGCCCTCCTGCAGACATCTATCTACTCGGCTGGCTTCCTCAACCCCTTCAAGTTGCTTATTCATACAATGTCCCATAACTCATGCCTCCCTAACCACCCTGTTTAAAACGGCCCCCCTGCATCTCCTTCCCGTACTTCATACTAACACACTCTACTGTCTATTTGGTCTCCCATCTGTATCTTCCTATTAAAACAAAGGTCCACAGGGACAGGGGTTTTCATTTGATTACTACTGTATATCTGGGACACAGAAAGCACTGAATAAATCTGTGAAGGGAATGGTACCTCATCTGCAGCTATCCCAATGCCCAGCAGAGTGCCTTCACACAAAATGTGCTCAACAAATGTCTGGCAATAGAGGGATCCATGAAACACTCCCTAGTCACAGCTGGTAAGTACGGAGCACGTATTCAGTTCCAGACTTGACTCTCTTCACTAGAATGCATGGCCTTATCTATTTCATGACTGTCCTGGGAATGCAGCACTGCTCTACATGCTCAAAATCTGAGGGAAATGACCATTAGGATGATAAATATGTGGTGCCCATTGCAGTGTACCTCAGGCATCAGGGGCAGTGAGAGCTCTTGTTCACAGAGCAGCCCAAGTGGCAGAGCAGGCTCAAATGCAAGCTGCACAGCCTCCAGGGATCATGAATAGCCACTGCACCAAGCTTCCCCCTTCACTCATATCCTGATTAAAAATGTCTCTCCTAGGAGCCTTCTTTTGAAACTAAATCTCTGAAGGGGTCTCAAATGGGTATGGTAAAAATGAGGATCAATGCTTTGGAATGTCAGGAAGACCTGAGACAGATCGCAGGTCACGTGGGGAGCAAGGAGCTGCAGAGGCGGGCAGACTGAGTCAAAGACAGGGAGACAGACCCCTTTTAGAGATATCCCATAACTTCTCTGAGGCTCTGACAGGTAGGGCCATCTCCCCATCAAGGTTCTCCTGCAGTGTGAGACAGCCCTCTGTTCACACGAAACCCTTCCTGTCACACTGGGAAACAGACTTGACACTGGGAAGAAGCAGACGGGCGTACGCATGCATGCTGAATCTAACTGCTTACTTCTACAAACAGCTCTCCTTATTCACATGCTGTCCACTGAGCATCTCCTGTGAGATGCTCCCTGTGAGAGGCTGGGAAATCCAGAGCTGAATTCAATATTGCTTCTGGAGTTTCACAAGTTTACACCTGAGCAGTAGAGACTGTCTGAGCACAGAGGTCTGGGGGAAACATGCCCACCAGTGATAGAGCAGTGTGGGGGTGCAACCCTGACATGTGGAAACCACAAAGGGGCACAGAAAGAACACGTGATCCCAGCTCACCCTCTGTTCTCAGATGGAATAATCAACACAGAGGCCAAGAGCCAGCAGACAATTCCGCCAAGGGAAAACCATGCATGTGCTTGATCACTAGTGCCAAGTATCTCTCCTGCTTGGGGTTGGTTTGTTGTAATCACTGCTCGATTTCTTTCGAAGTGACACTAAGGCTCAGACCATGACTCGTGTCTGAAGTCTTTGAAAAGCCACCTCCATATCCCATGAATGCTGTGTCTGTGTGAGACAGATCCCTGTCCTCATCTACACATGCACATAACTCACTTTTCCTCAGGGCAAACTCTTCATCCGAAGGCTTCCGCTCAGGTTTGCGCTTAGGTAGCAGCTTTTTCATGGTCTTGGGACTCTTACTAAGATCCTAAAGAAAGAAAAGCGGGGAAAATGATGACAATTTCCTGTGACTTTTATTGGCTGAGTATCAGTAAGGGTCTCTGTGAAGGTGTGAAATATGAAATCACTACAAGCCACTCACTGTTAAAAGCTTCCTACTTCTCTCATACTTTGATTTTTCTTTGCCAGATGCTGAGCATTAATTTAAAATCAATAGGGCACTGACTCTCATAAAAACCTTCATAGTACTTGGATCCATCAGCACTGTGACAACCCACAGCAGAGGTGTTGTAGGATTGCAGGAAGGCTGGCAGCTTCTGGAGAAGAGGAAAAGGACAGCTGGCGACGCGTGCACAGAGATCCATGGATGCTGCTAATTCTGGAGCAGACCCATCTGCTCCAGCTAACTAGAAAGCGATGAGGAAACTAGGCCTATTTTTAAAGGAAAGGTAAGTAAAGAACAATTCCTTCAGGAAAATGTTTGAAGCCTCAAGGGAGAAGAAAAGGGAGTACAGTCAGCTTATGGCTTTGAGCTCAGATGCACACAGAAGACAGAGCACTGGCTATGGTGTGTTCATGCTAATTCAGAGCTATGTTCGATGTAATGGTCTTCCACTTATCTGTGTGTATATATATATAAAACACAACTTCTAAGAACTGTGCAGAAAATGAAGGTGAAAAACTAAGAGGAGACAATCCAATGGGGAGTCAGTGTTTAAACTGTCAAGCATGTAGAAAATATCAATATCAAAAAAGGCTAACTTCTGTATCATTTAAGTTATATAAACCGTTTATGACACTTATCATGAGAAGCCAAGAGCCATGACTCAGAAGGTGACATGTGCTATGGCAGCAATTCCGAACCTTTCTGACAGCAGGGACCGGTGCTCCTGTGACAATCTAATGCCTGATGATCTGAGGTGGAGCTGAAGTGGTGACGCTAGTGCTGGGGAGCGGCTGCAAATACAGATGAAGCTTCGCTCATTCACCGGCCGCTCACCTCCTGCTTTACAGCCTGGTTCTAACAGGCCACTGACTTTACAGGACAGCGGCCTGGGGGCTGGGGACCCGTGGGCTATTGGATGTATCATACTGAAATCAGAGGGAAGAGAACCTGATTTTTAGGGGTCTCTCTTCAAAATCATTTCTGTACAAATAAATATTTTAAAAGCTCTTAGAAATGCAGAAATCAGTTCCCAAAGAAACACAGCATGTGTTCTATGGCTTTCCTAATTCGAAGTGAGGAGAAAGAGATGAGGCCCTGGCAGTGCACCAGATGCAGCACTGCACATGCAGAGGATACAAGTCCACTACACACTGTGCCCCACTCTTGGACTCAGGCAAAGCTGGCTGCTCCCTCATTTGCCATACTCTATAATATTACTTTTCACTAAGTGTTTGGAGGTGCTTAGTAATACTGGACAACAGAGTGTGAAACCTTTCCTCCAACGTGGGGTCCAGCAAAGCAACTGCAGCCATTTACCAAAACCAGATGTTCATGTTCACTGCACCATACCTCTCGCCTTGCCCTTTCTGCTTCTTTAACACTTTTGCTCCAGTTTTCCTCTCCAATAATAAAATCTCCACCAGTGCTTGCCTGTACTATCTGTAAACACTGAACCAGACAAAAGAACACCAATAATCTTTAATTGCCATGATAAAGAAATTTCTGACCTGAGCATATGATCACCAGCGAGAGATATGTCATAAAAAAATTCATTAATAAAAAATGTAAAGGACTGATTATAATTTATGTAGTACTTTTCTACATGTCTTAGGACTGCTCGCAAGGATGGAGGGTCTGCTCCAGATCTTTTAGCAAATGTGGCTCAACTAGATGTGGAGACTTGTACCAGGCAATAGTGCTTCAGCATGCTCACACTCACTTGTGCTAACCATCCTCCCTCACACTCAAGTTCATAATCATACTTACACTAATAACCATACACTCACACAATAACCATACTCATACATAACCATGCTAACATGCACACAATAACTATACTCACACTCACAACCATATTCACACTCATACTAATAACCATATTCACACAATAACCAACCATATTTACTATACTCCTGCTCATGATACTCACACTCAAGATAAACATCCTCACCAATACTCATACTCACTATAACCATACTTACAATAAGTATACTCTCACTCATAATAACCATACTCACACTCACACAATAATCATACTCCTAACCATAATCACTTTCACATTCACACTCATGATAACCATACTCAGAACCATTCGCTATAACCATATTCATACTCGCACTCATACAATAACCACTCTGGGTAACCAGATTCGTGATGACCACACTCAGCTCACTCAAGCTCACTCATACCCACACTCATGTGCTCTCACTCACACTTGTGATAACCACACTCATTTCGATTATCAGCTAATATTTCTTAGAACATATTTCTCAAGATACTTCCTTTCCTCACAAAGCAGGTTTAATGTATGAAACCTAGTACAAAAGTGTGGGAAACTTGTCAACACTTATTTATGGATAGGAATCGTATTTTAACTGCACGTGATACAAATACATGCTGGATTAGAAAAGAGCAGAGTGCACAAAAACTTCTTACATAAAGAAGAGAGCTGTCTTAATTTTCTTCCATTTTTATTTGTACATGTTTTCATCTCAAATAGCTGGTGACAAAAGGTAGGGTTCCTGGGAAAAATCTCAAACTTGAAAAAGGATCATAAGGCACAGAAGAACAGCATGCAGAAATAAAGTGAGACATATCACAAACCAGAAGTTCAAAATAATTTCAGGCTCAGCTAGAGGCCCAGAGGAAGCCCATGTGAAGCCTTCTAATTCCTCAGCTTCCAGGCAGCAGGAACAAAGGCAGGGCCATGGTGAGCATAAAAAAGATCCCTCCATGAAGGGCAAAGAGAGAGTCTGATGCTGCACAAGCCCTGCCACGAGGGTCTCCATGGGCCTCCCAGCCCCCCAAAGCAGAAGGGAATAACAAAAGAACAAAGACAAGAGATTCTTTAGTTCTGAAGAAGCTGATCCATATTTTTTATGTCACAGATAGAAATATGTGATTTTCCATTTTTCTGAATTCACTGAAATGAAGCACAGAATGACCAAACACGCCTACCCCAATATCAAGTCACGCTCGCTTTCACTAGGATCTCACCTCCTTGTAGCAGAGAGCAGCTGAGGGTCGGAGGGGAGGTGCAGGTCGCAGACAGCTCAGGCTCCATGGCTTGGGGGTCTTCGGAGGCTCTAGGGGCCCCCAGTTGATGGTGGTATGTGGAGTGCCATGGTGAGAGGGGTGGGGCAGTGTGTGGTAGGCGGGTGTCAGTGGCACTGGCTTGCTGTCTGCATGCTTGCTGGATGGGGTGATAGAATGGGAGGGGAGCTGCCCAGGGAAAAGAGTAAAAAAGGGCAGAAAAAGAACATTGACCATCAAAGAAATCTCAACCAAATATACCTAATTCTGCTAATTTTTAAAAATAAACCCAGTGAAATAACCTCCAGGTTACCATTTCTCTTGCATCTCTGATTCCCAGCAGTCTGTTTCTGGGATGTCTGAGCAGAGCACAGTCCGCAGGCCACAGCCAAGCTTGGGTTAGGAGGCAGCAGGAGGTTGGAGACGGGAGGCCTGGACACTCTGCCACCACTTTTATTTGCAATGAAATAACATTTGCAAAAAGGTATTCATTTAGTACAGATATCAGAATTTTATAAAAGAACAAGCATTCCCTATACCGGGAATGTGGTTATGAGGGAAAATAATCCTCCCCGGTCAAGTATTACTATCTGGTGATTTTATGGTCAGCAAAACTCAGACCTGACCCCCATTTTTGTTT